CTCATCGCACAACATACACCGCAATGTCACTGCATAGCCTTCCTGGCGCGCCTACACAACACTGGGTCACCCAATCAATCCAGAGCCATAGCCTTTTTTTCGTTGTCGTGCATGCAACACCACCAATCAACCAATGCGCTGGAGCCAGCGGAGCGGGCTCGAACGGTCCAGAAAGCAAGAATGCACTAATATCACACCAAAGGAAACTAAAGCATCGAACTCGATTATCAGCATCAGCCCTCTCTCAACACCATCAACAATGTCTCCGATGTTTCTTTTCCCTATCGGCGCTTACCGTCCAGACTACAATCACACAGCTCCTATACTAGGCTACACTAATGACGAAGCAACAAGATGACGTCAGCACCAACAGCCAAAGTACATGCAGATGTCGCCCATGCAGACCTCATCCATGAAACCAGGTATGTGCCCTCTCTGTCTTTCTCTGTGTCGCCCTCTCTCTCTGTCTCACCCTCGGCTTCACTTTCACGTTCATCCTCCAACCAAGGACCGCCACCAACCCCGCTGGCTTATGTCTCTAAGCCCGGCTATGGCTGAAGACCGTTGCTGCATTCAGCAGCGCCCACCTCCTCGCTACCGTGCTCGCTCACCAACACTTGCGCTTGCGGCCTCTGAGCGCTCATACCAGCACTGGGAGGCTCGTCTGCCCAGTAGCTTCACGTTTGGCCAAAGTGTCTGAGCCCAGGCCCAATTCAGACAGTGGTCTGGGACTGAAACAGTTAAGGGCGCCCAACTGCCAGACGTGGCCTGAGCTGCACTCTGTGTCGTGATAAGGCCTGCTTCCACGTATAGCCTGGAAGAGCCTAGAAGGCTCAGGAAGACACAGTTGCTCGTGAGCAGGACCCATGTAACCAACTGGCACGCTCTGGTGCCCAGGAGGGCCTCGAAATGACAAAATTCAGGCCTCAATGAGATGTGCAGGCCCGCCTTCACTTAGGGCGAGCACAAGGCTTGCAGCGGGGCCCCTTAAAGACCTGCGGAGGACGAGGATCCTTGCAGAAGAAAAAAAATACAAAATATATATTTGAATAAGTTTTTTTTAATTTTAATCGCGGCTGGTCACCGGGCCGTGTGGCTGGCGCGTCCTCGCCCAGATCACTTCCGAGCAAACCGGCCATTTCACCTGGCTGGTTCACTTCCAGGCAGCCCGCGCAATTTCACAAAGGGTTTCTAAAGGCCTAAATGTTTTCCAGGAAGCCCACCCAATTTCGCGGGGGTTTCTCAAGGCAATTGTTGCACTGAGAATGCTCAGCCAGGTCTTCCATGTGTTCATCCACCTCATCCTTACAATGTATGTCTTCTCTGTCGTCAAGGACAGACTCGTTCTTGAGCCTTTTCTTATACTCTTTTGCCTTCATCTTCACGCCACACTCCATACTTTCCCTTTATCGTTCTTTGTTTGTCTGCTCTCCATCTCTCCTCCCTGTGTTTGTCTGCCTCTTTCTCACAGCATACAAGTGGGTCGTTATGGTACACGGGGATGGGGGCAGCTCGCGCTCAACTTCATCAACGTGGCGAGCCTTGTACGCGAGAGGCACGGAGAAGGGGGAGTTAAAAGAAGAATGAGAAAAATGAATGGTTTCAGTGTGCCGTTCATGTTTGTCTTGTTTTTTAATTTTTAATTTTTGCCGCTTGTTTCGCAAAGTGCGCTCTTTTTAGTTCATACTAACTTCATAGTTATGTGACAATATATGTATATATTTTTGCATGCCCGGGTACGCCGGACGTCACGCCCGGATGCTCGGCCGGACAGGACCCGCCGGGCATGAGAATCTTCCTAGTATTCTCGGGCTTTTGTTGAGTATATTTTTTGTATCTTAGATATTGAATAGTACACATAATTGCCAACCTAAAACAAAATTCCACAAAAATCATCCGAAGAATCAACCCGATCAACTACACCACCAGACTAGGTTATAAACTAAGACGTAGATCAATAGCCCCAGAAACAATCATAGCGGATCGCTGGAATAAACACCTAGAGATAGACTCGGAGAATTTTAAAGAAATACCTTGGAACCAAATAGCTACCCTACATCCCCCCAAGTTCAAAAGTTTACAATGGCTAATACTATACTTAGCAATCCCACTCAACCAATGGCTGAACAATAGAAGAAGAAAAGAAGACAGAAACAGAACTGTGTGCCAATTGCATAGAAGGACAGATAGAAGACCTGTTTCATTGCTTCCTGCTATGCCCCAAGATCCAACCCATATGGAACAGGATCACACAGATATGGGCCTCAATAACCGGCACAAATTTCACAACAAACCCTACCCTTATTCTATTAGGATTCACAACTCCGGAGTGCTGCCGCCCCCTTCAAAACAACCTATTCCAAATCCTGCGAAAGGCAACAATATGGTCCATCTGGAGGAAACGATGCCAAGAAACGATAGACAAACAACCAATGCATGTGCAAGAAGCTTGGTGTATCCTCAGACAGCAAGTAGAAACCGAATTTTGGGTACTATGGCGCAGAGTCAAGAGAAAGATGAATGCCATCAAGCCCAAAGCTAAGGAATTTCAAACCAAATTCGAAGAGAACTACCTGGACAAAGGCAAGGTAGCAATCATCAAGGGTCAGAGTCTAATCTTTAAAATGTGGAATGACCCAACTCAAACCATCAATCCACACTCAGAACCATTGATTAGCACACCAGACTCAACCAGCATTCAGATCAATTCCTTCTAACCCACTACAAATAACTCAAACTAGGGCACACAAACAAAACAATTAACCCCCAAGGAGATTACCCCAACAACACAAACAGGAACAGCAGCTAATCACGGACCTTACGAACAGATGGTAGGCCAAACCTCCAACCCCCACAGACATCTTCCCGGTCAAAAGAAACCACACTACCCCAACCCCACCGCAACCCATACAAACCCCTCACAGCGCTTTCACTTCTAGCCCAACTACTCCACAATAAACCACCCTGATCCCAAACCAAACCACCTCCCCCAGACAACACAACCCCCTCCCAAACACAATAGGCACCCAACCTCCCAAACCTCCCAAACCTAAACCCACACACACAAGATCCTCCCAACCCAGCATTCTAATACCATCTACAGATTCTACACCCTACTTGCAGCTACCAAAACGGCAGTACTATTTACTAAAGAGAGAAAATTCAGGATAAGAGTCACAAATCACAAGAGGAGAGGTCAAACACGTAGCCAACAGGCTAGCTAAACCTGATAGGGTTTAGGGTTTTAGCACTAGTCAAAACTGGCTAAAGGGCAGGTTTAAATAAGACAGGTTAAGGTTTATAAGCATTCACAGGCAGCAGTAAATAGAAAGGAGAGGGCATAGGACCATGTTTACGCAAAGAGGAGGGACATGTCTGCATTTCTAGCGCTTAATGTGAATCAGGCAGTCAAGAGCTGAGAGGAACAGGCGAGACGAGACCCTTCCAAGCAATTCATAGGTAATAGCAGCCAAACATAAGAAAGTAGGCTAACTTAGGCAGAGGTGAGGCTGGTACATCCTTCCGGAGAGAAGCAATCAATGCCGTCCCTCGGACTTCCCTACCGTAAAGGGGTTGGGTGTGTGTGTCTTTTCATGTACTTCCTTTGACTTGCTGGTGGAATAGGAACCGGACTGATGCTCCCCAGAATGGAAAAGGAGCCAGAGCCACAAGGTTCTGTTCTGCTTGAAGGGAATTTGTTTTGCACTTAGCAATGTTGACCTTTCTTTCTGGGATCAAAAAAACGGTGGAAGAAAAAAAAACTAAATCAGAGTAAGTCTTTTGACCATACTTGCGGCGCGTAGGTGAAGTGCGCTGCGTGGTGCGCAGTGCGCCAATCCCAGGTGAGCACGCACCAAAAAAAAAAAAAAAAAAAAAAAAAAAAAAAAAAAACAGAACCGTGATGTGTGTATACACGCTGGAGAGAGAGAGAGAGAGAGAGAGAGAGAGAGAGAGAGAGAGAGAGAGAGAGCACAGAGCCCTTTCACATTATTCAGACAACCCCTGCCGGTACTCCAAAAGGTCCCTGCCAAAAATTGGCAAGGGTCCCTTCGGCAGGAACGAGGTGGTCATTGGAAGGGTCGTCACTGGACTCGTAGTAGGCCAGCTGCATATGGTGTACCTTCGATTTCAGGTTCGTGTTTCAGCAGTTATGGGTTACTGACTTACTAACTCGGCATGTGATTTTGAGGGCTTCACTCCACTACTCACCAAATGTGCAAAACTAGAATGAATCTTCTCCTAGAAACTGGATCCATACAGGCCATACGTTTTTCTTTTCTGCAAGTGCTGATGAGTGGAGCCAGGCCCTTAGGGCCACTGCACGCAAGTAAGAAACGGAAAAACTAAAAAACGAGACAGCTACTGTATGTGCAAAACTAGAATGAATCTTTTCCTAGAAACTGGAACCATACAAGGCATCCGTTTTTCTTTTCTGCAAGTGCTGACGAGTGGAGCGAGGCCCTTAGGGCCACTGCATGTAAGAAAATGGGAAAAAAAAAAAAAAAAACGAGACAACTACTGGAGTGTTTGTGGTAAGGTCGTAAGCCATAACTCTTGGAACACAGACCTGAATCCTACTCGTGGTCTTCCAGCAGTCCAGTGCACATCCTTCCAAAGGTTATGGAAACCCTGCTAATTGCTTGCAGGGTACATTTTGGAAAGGAGAATCAAACCAATGAGCAGTACGACGAGGCCCCAAAATATTCTCTTTCTGTGTACTTACCCTTTTTAAAAGGGAGGGACACTTATGGGTACGACGACCTACCGTTTCTGATTTTTTTTTTTTTTTTTTTCTAAATGCGCAGCATCACGTGCGCGCGCAAATGTGCTCATGTGCGCTGCGGCGCACGTGCGCAACTTGCGCGCACGTGATGCGCCGCAACTATGCTTTTGACCTGTCTTTTTGGGACAAAAAAGGTTGGCAGAATCAGAGTTAAGTCTAATCGTGGATTTGTACTGGGTGATTGATGGGTGGTTGATCTCTTCTGAGTTTCAATTAGGTTGGAATAGTTGGAGACATATGTGCAAGCATGCTAGAAGAAGTGGACTTTCTGAAAGAAGCGGTCAACATCGAGGCTTTCAGGGAATATGTCAAGAATGCAGGACTGGAGAACCAGGCGATGGCTCCTGAGGTTTTTCGACATGCAACCTCGCGTCGCGTTCTCACCATGGAGCGCCTTTATGGTGTTCCTCTCACAAATTTGGAGGTCCTCAAATCTATTGTCCCTAATCCTGAAGCCACTCTGATTACTGCGCTCAACACGTGGTATGACACAAAACCTGTCAACTTCACTTCAATTATCTCAACATGTCTTCAATTGTCTCAACAGCACTTCAAATATCTGCTTATCTGCTTAAAGATTAAACCCTGTCAAATTGCGTCAACACCAATTAGCTCATCATCAGCTTTTAGAAATTATGATGTTTTCAATTCTTGCGTATCTTTTTTTCTTATTAAATTTTTTTACCATTTCTCGATTTATGCATGTCATCCTTGCGCAGGGGCCATGCTAATCTTCTCTGTGAAACAGTATTCACCAGTTCGCAGTAGCTGATGCAGATCCCAGGGCTCGATCCCTAGTTCCCCACCTTACCTGTGTACAGTAACTGTGTTAACCCATAGATTTGAACCTGCGACCTGTAGGACCGCCAGTGGTAGGTAGGGTCTCGTAGGTTACAGGGTATAGGGGATTCGAACTGTAGACCTGTTGGGTAGGAGTCTAGACAGTCCAGAGATCGTAGCTGTAGACTGTCTGAGGGGTCAAAGTCGTAGCTGCTACTTACCTGAAAGGGCAGAGTCGTAGCTGCTACAGTACCGAAAGGCCAAAGTAGAGTGTTCTAGAAGTGGCCTTTCGGAGTCAGCCATGTTTCGGCAGAGGCAAGTGGTCAAGTGGTGTAGGTCCACCACGCTGAGTCAACGGTCCCAGTCCAGCCAGTCCGGTCCTGTCCAGCAAGCACCGTCTGGGACTGTGTGCCCCGTGGGCCAGGGAAACAGGGCAGACCAACGAGGCACAGAAGTATAAATCAAGAGGCTGCGCCCAGCCATTCATTCATTCCTGCGGAAGCCATGCGGAAGCGCTGCCTCAGCGAGTGCCCGAAGTCGAAGTGGGCAGAGAAGTGTAGTATAGCGATAGGGTAGTGGCAGCTAGCGCTGCCATAGCTATAGTAGTGTGTGTGTGTGTTGCGTGCGTGTGCAGAGTGCCGTGTGTGGGATATCCAGGGTGATCCAGTGTGTGAACAGTGAGATGTTGGGCGCTCAGTCGCCATAGCCAGTGGAAGTGAACTTACCTGGAAGCCATATCTCTGTGTACTGTGTGGGCGCATGTCGCCAGTTTGTTGTGCTGCTGTTCACGTGCATGAAAAGTGTGAATGAGTCGAGTCTGATTGCATCTGTATCATTCCAATTTTAATGGACGTCCCGAGGTGCAATTGTTTGCGTTTCTGTGCTTATGATTACGATGATTTTTGGTTTAGACCGTCGTGAGACAGGATAGTTTTACCCTACTGATGCACCATAGGTACCAACCTGTCCCATTCTTGCAATGACCTCGTCATCACAATGATACTCCGACCGAGTATGAGAGGAACCGTTGGTTTGCACGAATACAGTAATTTTGCTGGCATGTCTGCTGCAGTATTGTCATACTGTGACAGAGTCGTCTAATCATGGTCTACTTCAATCTATAGATGCAGGGTAGAGATAGCCTGGGTGACTTTGGCCATGTCAATTGAGCTTGCAAGTCTGTTGTATGAAGCAGTCCTGTTTACACACATAAAAGGGCATCCTTAAACTACCTTCGTCACCCAAATAGAACGTACGGTCATTATAGCTTTATTTGGGGTGTCTTTCAGTCTAAATACAGCTATAATGACCGTAGTCACCGTACGTTATATTCGGGTGAAGAAAGTAGCACTTTCTTGAATGCACCTTACTGCAGTTATGCCCGAATTCAGTTGAAACTTGAAAATGTTGTAGTTTGACAGCAGTTTTTGTTATATATAATTAGTCCAGTCGCATGTACAAAATGAAATAATAAGGGGAAAGGGTTTCACTTCGCTGTTATTAACAGCTACAGTTGTGTAAATTGCAGATACCATTCAGGATTTCAACCATGGCTACGCCGGACCCGGACCCGGACAGCTCATGTCCGTGGACCAGATGCATGTCCGGTAGGATCCGGACTTCGAGACACATCCGGACCTCCAGACATGTATGGTTCCGGACGGTCCGGACCGGTAGGCTGGTCCAGAAATGTCTGGACCATTAACAAAAACAAAAAAAAGAAAAGAAAAAGAAGTATGTTATGCAGAATAACAACGCAAATCATTTTTGCCTCAGAGTCATGTTAGAATTCCTAACCAAACTTGAGTTAAAAGTCAAAAACTATGAAAAAACTTAAAAAAAGTAATGAATTATGAATTAATAATAATTAAATAAATGGGTATGTCTAATAAATAATTATAGAGAGAGACCATGTCCAGACCCTTAAAAAAACAAAAAACGGGCCTGAAAAGCCCCGGAAACAATTTTGGAGGCTCGGCTCCTCAGTGGGGAAGCCTGGACCCTTTTTTTTTTCCCCCTTGAAAATTTGGCAGATCCGGACCGGACGTCTGGAGTCCGGACTGAATCCAGACCGTCTGGATGGTGGTCTGGACGTCCGGATCATAGCCATGATTTGAACTCACGACTTATGACCTGGTCATCAACAGCTGGATGTGTATCGCAGTGAACACATGACGGGCTTTTCAGCAGGTACATGTGTGGGCCTTCAGGGATTTGAACTCGCCGCGTCTTTCCCCAAAAACCACCTACTGGTTTTGAGGGACCTGATCTTCACTTGAAAGGGTTAGAGAGATATTGGAGAAGATTAGAGACAGAGATAGAGATAGGGATTACGTACCTGTTGCTCCTGCTGTTTCCTAATGCTTGCCTCCATCTTACATGGCGGCTGTGTTTGGCAGGTTTGGTAGCCTTGTTGCCTGTGAGACATTCCATGCAGATGTCCACGCGGGAAATGTATTGGTTCTCAAAGACGGGCGAGTGGGCTTCATTGATTTTGGTAAGCCGTCGTTCATCGTGCCAAAATGTCAGACGCTTCCATTACTGCCCCCTCTGGCAGCAAACCCACCTGTTCCCCGGCATGTCCTTTTGTATGTGTCTGGCCTGAAAAGTCCACGATCCTTAACTGGGAAAAAGTGTCAAACAGCATGTAAAAGAAAGTGAAAATTTTTTTTTTTTGCAAAGTGAGAACTAATTTCGATCGGATGCATGCCTGCCTAGAAACACTCTTCCTGCGCAGGACTATGAGGTGGATCCCCCAGCCTTGGGACACCTCATGCTGGCTCACCGTCATTTTTTGGTGTTTCCCCCCCCCCCCCAACAAAAAAAAAGGGGCAGCGCCGCAGCGGCCTTAAGATATCATCATTGAACTGATGGGCCCCAGATAGTTCAGAATGAACAATGTTATAGTTTTTATCCTGTTCAACCAGTTTGCATCCGGATTCAAACTTTGGTCTGTATGTCAACAGTTCATGGGTGTACCAACTGGGCAAAAAACGGGCAACGGCCTTGAGATATCATCATTGAGTTGATCGGGCCAGGGTAGTTCAGAATTATTTTGCATCACTCATCTAGTTCCATCAACTTAGGGATCCTGAACTCAGGTCTGTATTTCAACAGTCCAGGGGTGTACCATCTGAGCTAAGCCCGGTGTTTGTAAACTTTTTTCAAGTTTTTTCTTCATTTCTTTTCTGGTTAAAGCAATCGTGATCTTTTATTCTGGGGAGCAGTGGCCTGGTTCCTCTTCAACCATCCGCTTTCAGACTTTTTTTATGTGGTCTTACTGAACTTTACTCAATGTTCAGTGCGACTTTTTTTCTCTCTTTTGTTACGATCCTGGCTAATTCCGAACTGCAAATTCACAAGGAAAGACAATGCCACCCAATTGCAAAAGAAATGAAACCTCTTGCAAAGATATAAAGAAGAAGAATGAAGAAGAAAGAAAGAGGAAGAAGAAGAAGATGTACACCAGCAAGACCAATGACAAATCCCCCTCCTCTCTCCACTCTCCTCCTCCTTATCTCCGCCAATTTTATTCTTCACCAAATAGTAATAATAACAATGAATGGTCGAGCCAGAATCAATATCTGAAGTTCCCTTTTACTGCCAGCACAACAAGAGGTTCACCATAGCATGGCCTCCCTCTTCGCCTACTTTTGCACAGGCCTAGGCTATGGTGGACTACTAAGGGCCTTGCCCTGATGTGCAAAAGACAATGCAAAGCAGCTATGGTCCCTGCTCGTCAGGCTGCCATGCCTGACTCTGCCTTGAAGCCTTCTTGGTGCAGGTGCAGTGCCTAACAAGACAATGAAGATGGCATGACGCCCAAACTTGCCTACCGCAAATGAGGAGGAGCAACTCGCTCCTCCACGAGATATAGTGGCCAACCAGCCTCGCAGCTGGTCACTACGCTGCACGTTCTCCAAGCAACCGGTACCTCCTCCCTTTCGAAAGGAAACATTGCAGGCTCTGATATCGTCCGGACAGGCCCTAGACTCAGGCAACTTGGACTGGTCCCTGTCTAGGGCCTCTAAAAGTACTAACTTTTGTCTTCTTCTGCTCGGCCTACCGCTACTCAAGTGCTACCGGTACCAATGCCACCCCTTCGGCCAAGTGTTTTTCCCCGCTGCAACTTTCAAAAGTCATGGCCACTTGAGTGTCTTTCCCCGCTGCAACCCTCAAAGTCACGGCCACAGGTAAGTACTGGCCCCGCAGGCCTCCCTAACAAACAAGTGCCATAGCGGGCCACACAAACTCAGGCCAACAAGCACTCAGACAGGCACATGGACCAACAAGCACACTCACACACAGCAGAGCACGGGAATCTCAGCAAGGCATGCATTCCACTGGCAAAACTCAGAAATCAGCAGGATTCTCAGTCTGTGTTTTGGCAGGTCATTACACTATCCCCCACTCAAGAGCGAGGTCCCTCAAGACCACCACTGATAGCACTAGGATCATAGGCTCACGATAAGGAAAGGAATCAGGAGAACGATAAGGAAACAGTTTGGACGCATGAAAGACCGGATACATGTGAAGATAAGGAGGCACGGCAATCACAGGAAGGACCAAATGAGTCGTCCCGCACCACCTTCAACACCTTCCAGGGGCCATAATTGAGAGGAAGAAGCTCAGACATCTTGACCAGACATAACCTCCCACTTTGAATGGTGCAGGCTGGCGCCTATGAATCCCCCCGACCGACGGTCATGACTTCTGCGGCCACGTGGCGGCCGGAGGGGGCCGGTTCCGGGGGTGGGAGTTGCAGATTGGGATTCCGGAACCCCAACCCTACCCCATAGCAGAAACGGAAATATGAAAAAACGATTCTTGGGGTGTGTGATGACCCGACCAAACACGGACTGAGACACACAGTTGATTTCTGAGTTTTGCTCGCGGACTGAATGCCTTGCTGAGAGTTTCCCGCTTGCTACTAAGCTATGCATGTCTGTGTGTGTGTGCACGCTTGTTGGTCTGCATGTCTGTCTGAGTGCCGGTTGGCTTGAGTGTGTGTGTGACCCGCAAGGGCACTTGTTTGTTTGTTGGGCCCTCAGAGCGGGTACTTACCTGTGGCCGTGAATTGAGGATTGCAGCAGGGGAAAACACTCAAGTAGCAGGTAGGCCGGTACCGCACCCTGAAGAGGTAGATGTGCGGGTACTGGAGGCCGAGCAGAAGAAGACAAAAAGTGGTATTTTGAGAGACCCAGTAGTTGTAGGCTAGGTCTAGGCGGGTACCAGTCCAACCAGTCTGAGTGTTACATGCCCAGTTGGGCGATGTACATACAAACCGAGGATCCGCAATGTGATGAAAAGGACTGAATGGACAATGCAGTGCACGTGAAATCTCAACCAGCGATGTGGATTCCGATACATACAAAATGGTGCTTTTCAGCGCAGTGGAAGACTTAAATACAAGTCCTGACCTGACTGGGACTGACCTCTATCACGTAGTGCCAGATAGCGTAGCAGAATGCTAGAATATCAATGACTAGCCCATTCAATGTTGCTTCGCAGACTAAACATACATGATTCTCATCACAAGGTGTGAAGACCTGACC